TGTGTTGGACATTGTGTAGGGTGATGAAAAAGACATGGTCCCTATCCCACAAAGAGCTTATAGGCTAGAGCGGGAGACAGATCACATAGTATTAGCTGGACTACAGGATGCATACAGAGTATGAGTCCATTCGCTGTATAAGCCAAATGCCAGGGAAGCACTGGTCAATGTTGTTGTGCAGGCCTGGGAACGGGAAGAGGGAAGTATTCAGGAAAACCTTCCCTGTGGAGTCAATGCTTACATATCGACTGATGAATAACCACCACAGCAATGGTTAATCTTAAAAGTCGTAAACATTAAAACCACATAAGAGTTCAGCAATCTTCAAGCCCAATGAACAGATACATGTCTATTATACTATAGTTGACTTCTGACACCTGCTAGTGATATAAAAAATAGCTTTAAACATGTTGGACATCTTCTCACCTTTATCAGTGAATAGTTGGGTTCTACTGACTTGTCACATCTGCCTTTAAAAGTGTGAACTGAAAAGAAACTTGTTCAGTACACTGGAAGCAGACCACACAAGGTCAGTCAGGGAGACTTGGAATTGTGCTTATTATTTTGTTTTTAAAGTTCTGTGTTCTGTGAGAAGTGCTGAGTTTAGATGGATGCCTGTTATCTACCTTCTGTTGGGAGTATTAGCTTTCGTCCATGGTGGAATATCCTGCATACTTTGTATCTCAGAGCACCTGGTGGTTTCTTAGATATTATTGTTATTTCTTCTCTTTGGAGTTTATTCAAGGCATGGACTAATCCCTATATTTATAATTCTGTTCTCACATAAGCATAAGTCTTGTCAAAATATAGAGATAATACAGTGCCACATCACAGATATTATTTCTGGTGATGTTCTATACCTTAGAAATGTGGGCTATTTTACCTATTCTTGAAGATAGTTTCTTAAAATAGATGGAACAATTTGTCAAGTACGTCCACCAAATGCCTCCTGCAAGTTTATTGCTATTTTTTCATCTAAATCTTTCCTATCTTCAAGGTGGATTCCTTTCATTTTTGTGAATTTTGTGAATTTCTATGTCATCATTTTTTTGCTGAGTTCTTGTGGAGAGCCAGATTTAGCTGAAATTCATGTGAGAGCTCCCTAACTATTGAATCTTGGATGAGTATTTTGAATTCTCACATGACAAAAATACAAAGGCACTGTAATGTAAGTTTAGAGGTACAAGCAGTGCCCTCAGGGGACCCGCTCTCACTCTGCTGTCCCTTTAGTGTTACAAGGAAGCGGGGCAGGAACTCAAGAGTCAAGCAGATCTCATTAGAAATGAGACAATTTAAAAACAAGCAAGGGTTCTGTAATTGTTCACTCGTGTCCAACTCTGCAATAAATCTTGTGAGGTGATGGTAGCTCAGATAGAGTTGGGAAGACGGAGTGAGCTTGTGATTGGCTGATGGGGACAAGGACCAATGACACAATTTGTGGGGGCCAGTGAGAAACAGAAATGTGGTGCCCCATACTGGACATTGTTAAGAACTTCAAACAGTGATGACAGTGCATTAGCTCAAGCTTGGGGCCCTTCTGAGCCCAAGACCCCAGGTGACTGCATGGGTCACATGGGGTCCATGAGGCTGGCCCTGGGTAGGGGTGGGGAATGCCTTATTGTTTTTTAGGGAAAAAAAGAAAGGAAAAGAGTGAACTAATGAAACCCAATTCCTGCTCCGAGCAGAAAATTTAGAATGGCCAGCGCCTGACCACAGAAGCAGGTGGCTTGAGAATCTTACCCCCCAAATCAGATGGAGGGGCCAGGATGGCTCTGCGGAAGCTCACCGAGCAGAAAGCTTGAACAAGAAATTGGGCAATGCTGGGTGACTCGGCAGGACAGCTGTGAGGACAGAGCAGTACACTTGATTCAAAAACACGTGGAAAGTATATATTTTTAAAAGACCATATAGATGCTAAACTGTCACCCCAGTTCTGATTCCAAATGCCTTTACTAAATGTTGCCTGTTTATTCACATGAGGCTTTAGCAGCCTGCATTGTCCTGAGATCTTTTCTACACCTAAGTCCCCTGTCTTCGCCTTCTCTCCCTGAGGGTGTGATGGCAGGGGACTTGGTCAGCTAAAGAAACATTTTAGTGCTTGGGAGAGAAAGAGTTCTTACCAAAGTGAGAACCAGGGTCAGTATGTGCAGGTATGAAGCAATTTGATGGCGTGAGCCCCAGCCCTTTGTGACGACCCCATCCCTGGAAGGCAACCTTTCACTAAATTACAACTGCGTTTGTTTTTCAGCAAATGAAGTTGCTCTAGATTTCAGAGGGATTTGAAACTAAAATAGGGAGCCAGTATCCAGGATGAAGGAGGCAGGACCTTTACATTGAGGTGGTGGGTGGTGCTGGTAGCGACTGTCCGATGTATGCATTTCATTTTAAATGGGAAGATGGCTAGAACTGCCACCTCTCCAGGGAGCTTTTATGCTGTCCTCTGTTCTGTCTGAATGCACTTCTGGAGCTGTGGCAGCCGATTTAGGACAAAGCATTCCCCTTTCTTCCCGAAGTATACAACCTCAGACTTCTACCACATTCTGAAGCTATTTTCCTTTCAGTTGAGTGGAGGAAAAAACACGGCTGCTTCTTTATTACCAAAAAAGAAAGTCTCTAGCTTCTGAAGCCTCAAGACACCCCCTCTTGGAGGAGCACACTGAGTAGCTCACGGTGCCAAACCAACATCTGTGCTTCATCACCAGAAGTCATCGCGCGGGGACTGAGCTTTAGCTTAGAAGTGTGCGTACTGGAGTCTGTGAAGCTAGTTACAAGTGTGAAAAATAAATCAAGACACCCGGACAGAGTGAATTGCCAAGAAAGAGAGTTGTGTGCATGGCCCTGGGGCCCTGTTCTCACAGATGCGGGATGCATGCCTGCAGATTTGGCTTCCCAGTGGACTCTGAGTGCCCTGTGGTATATCGCCAGGGACCCCAACAACCTCATGTTCACCCGTCTTTCCTGAAACAGTCCACGCATTTTCACATGAAGAAGTTTGCATGATGTCATAGATTTTCTGCAGTTAGAAGGGTCTGGAAGCACGGTCCTCACTCTGCCACCAGATGGACTGGTGCCTAAAGTATCCGTGTCATTGATGGCAGAGGATCATCACAGGTTTCCCATCTTCCAATGTGTTTTCCTCTGGATGAGCAAGATGTAGCGAGGGCCTAACTTCCAGGCTAGGTGCAAACTCCGTCCTCTTCACTTAGCAGCTCCATGTCCTTGGGCATGTTACTAAGCCTCTCTGTGTCTCAAATTTTGTATCTATTAAACTGGAGGAATTGTTATATCTGCTCCATAGGGTTGTCGCCATGGAAGTGTTATGCTGTTGTTATCGAGAAAGTGTAGCTGCTTGTATTTGCAGACTGAGCCTCGTGCCTTGGGGCAAAGGAAGGAAAATGTCTTTGCCAAACTTGGAGACATCACCTTTCACTTGGCCCTAGATGTGCGCTTCTCTTGGCTAATGGTGGATTTGGCCTGCGTCCTTTCTTCTGTGTGCAGTTTTGTCCCCTTGATGAGGACGCTGAGTGCAGCAGGAGGTCATGATGGGCTCGACCTTGGTGGGACCGTGTGGCTGTGATGAGTGACTGTTCAGCGCCAGCAGGGAGGACGGTGCAGGTGCTGTTAGGGTAAGATTCTCCTGGCCACAGAGGCATTTTCATTCTGGGATGGTTGGCCACTCTTTGGCCTTTACTTGATTACACCCAGACGTGCATTTTACTAGCCATCTGGGGAAGGGATGGAAGAGTGGATGGGTGTTACTGTTTAAGAGCAAAGGCACAGTTTTCTGTGCCCAGTTTCATACCCTCGGGACACCATGTGTGGGTTTTCTGACCTCACATCAGCTTCTTTGGCCTTCGAAATAGAAAAGTGCCCCAAGTCACATGATTCTAGGAGAGACAGGCAGGTGTGGTGTTTTCACAGTGATACCATTTAGGTTTCATTTAGTTCTAGAAAACTGGCCTTGCTGGCTGGTTGGTGTCCCCCTCATCCTCTGCATAAGGAAGATTTGTCCTTAAATGAGTTGGGTTATAGGCACGTCTGTTTCCGCCTTCACATTATCTTTTGTGGACAGTTTTCTATCCTTTTTCCTTTTCTAGTCAGTCATAACTTCTAGGGACAGGGAGAGAAAGCAAATCTCTCTGTCCTTTGGTGCCGTGCTTGAATCTGGGGCCTTCTGTGTATGCTGTGAGAAATGACCAATGCTGGGGTTCTGTGTCTGGGAGCCCACTGTTGTCTTCTGTCCATCACGGCAGCTGCTCGAGAAGGCATGTGGTCTTTACACCAACATTTATTCTGCAGTAACCCGGAACCGACACACATTAGGAGGACAAAAAGGAAGTTGGGCAGATGGAACGGCATTTCTCAGAGTGCCGCCCAGATGCGGCTGGTGGATGGTGACACCCCCGCTCAGGGAGGGCCCAGCACCTCCAGTGTCGCGGGGCTTCCGGAGTGGCGGGACGCAGCTTGACTCGACATCGTTGGTAAAATGGAGCAGCTGTGAGCTGATTCACACGTCCTTGTCTCCAGGTTCATGGAGAGCCTGCAGAGTAGTGGACCGCGGGGCGCCCCCAACCCTCTCACCCTCCTCCTGCATCTTCTCTTTCCAGAAAGAACATGAGTTGTGCCTTGTATGAAACACACAAACTGCACCCATGCTGGGATCAGAGGCCCAGAAAGCTTCAAATGAACTGAATAACTTGATAACTGACCGGGAGAGGCGGCACACTTTAGGAAAAAGTGGTCACAGACACTAGTATTTTCTCTTTGGGTTCTCATGATAGTCATGTGAGATATGGGTTTATTTTATTTTATTTATTGTATTTTATCTTACTATTTTATTTTAATCCTTTATGAAAAAGGAACTGAACAGATGAAGCAGTCAAGGCCTGGGGAGGGAAGCCACTTGCTCAGGTCCTTGTGGCCACATGGAAGAGCTGGGGTTTCTCCAGGCCTTCAGATTGCTGAGCCCAGTGTACTTCTGATCCCTTACGTTACTGCAGGTTACATACGATGGAAAAGAGAGGGCGATACCTGCTTTGGAGCCTCTTTTACCATTACCTTTCAGTCCGATTCCTTCCAGGGACCATATCCATGCACTGTGACTGTTTCTATCTCATTAAATCCTCGCAGCCTGATGAGGTAGGTGGCTTGTCATTCCCATTTTATAGAAGCAGAAATGAGACTCAGAGAAGTTAAGTGACCTGCACAGGGTTGCACAGCTGCTAAGTGACAGGGCTGGGCAGTCTGGTCCAGGATACTCTTTCCTTCCTGTTCTTTCTTTTTTGGTCATGTTTATTAGGGTGTAATTTGTATAGAGTAAAAGTGACCCTTTATGTCGTATGGATGTTGACTTTTGACACATTTACTGTCTTGTGATGGAGATACAGACTACTCTGCCCAGAGGAAGTTCCTTGGTTTGCCTTGGAATCAGCCTGTGCCTCCACCCACAGGCCCAGAACTGATGATTTTCACTATGACACCCTAAATAAAAATAAACCCCATCCCTGAAATGCGGTATAGTGTCATGAGGGTAACTTGATCTCATGTGCTTGCCAATGAATTAAATAACATATTGCAACAATTTCCAATTGGTGATTTATAATTATGGCTAAAATCTTAGAAATGTAAGTGAATGACCCCAGGGGAGGACAGTTCTGTCCTGGCAATCAGTTCAAGGCAGCAGGGAGGGTGTTCGGTGAGTTGGACAGCCTCAGTCCCCCTTTAAATGGGTTTCTGTCCTGGTCCTTAAACTGACACTCCCTTCACCAGCTCCCATGTGGGGCCCAGGGCTGTGGTGGCTTCCGTTCCCCCACAGCAGCCAGGAAGGAGTCGCAGGTCACCAGGGGTCCTGTGGTGGTGGCTTTCTTCCTGCCACAGCCCCTCCCCCAGCCCATGCTGGCTCCAGGCTGTGGTGGTTCTGGGCCTGTGGTTGAAAGAGGACACTCCCCTGCCTTCTAGCAGGAGGCAGCATCCTGCCGCTTTGTGGTTTGGGTTCAGGAGAGAATCCAGTCCCTGCCCACGGCATCTCCCACACCTTGGGGAGTGGGGGCCCTGGGGATGTGGAGGAGGAGGCCCTCCTGTGGGCTGTCCTCTGAGACATGGGTTCTGGTTGCAGGGCGAGGCCAGCAGTGGAGATTTCTCTGTGTGCATCGTGTGTTCAGCCCACGTGGAGAAAACTGGGCTTTCATATATGGCTGCCGGCATTGCTGGCTTGCTGGGGCTGCCTTAACAGGGCACCGCAGGCTCAAACGACAGAAGTGGATTCTCACCATTCTGGAGACTGGAAGTCTCATATCAATGAGCCAGCAGGGCTGGTTCCTTCCGAGGCCATGGGGGAGACCCTGCCACAGGCCTCTCTCCTTGGCTTGTAGCCACTGTCTTCTCCTTGTGTCTCTTCATGTTGCCTTCCCTGTAGGCATATCTGCATCCAATTTCCCCCTTTGTGTAAGGACACTAGTCATACTGACTTAGGGCCCATCCTAATGGCCTCATTTTGATTTGATTACCTCTGTAAGCACCTGATCTCCTAATAAGGTCACTTTCTGAGGTCCTGGGGGTTAGGACTCCAGTGTTGGGGCACATAATTCAATGAGTAGCATGGCAAATATTGTGGCTTCCATCCAGTCTCAAAGATGGCTCAGAACCTTCCATGCCATTCATTTTCCAGGAAAACTGGTAGCAACGCACTTGTCACTGTGACTCGAGCTAAGTTGAATAAACAAAGCAAAGTCATTTTATTGGCATATTTGATATCTGTGGATTTAAAAATTTAGAGCTGTTTATAGTATATGATCTTCACAGGGTATGAACTTATCCTATGATAAACTCATAGGACACATGGTCAAATCTATAAAATTAGAGGATCCCACACAGAAGCCATTGAGTAGCAACTGTTCTTTAAGTTGCAATATATGTCTGATATGAAATTATGTGTGTGGTCCACAGCCATTTATATAAAACAGACACTATATTTATATAGTCCACACAGAAAAAAAGATGGGAAGAAAGGAAGTATTTTGGAATATTTCATGGAATATTAACATGGATTAACTCTAATCAGATTGGATTATACATAGTTTTTTGCTTTCCTCCATGTGCCTTTATTTTCCAGAATTTTTGTAATTTTTATAAGGAGAAACCTGTTATTTAAAAAAGAAAACTGGGACAAAGAAGGTTTTTTTTTTTTTGAGAGGGCATCTCTCATATTTATTGATCAAATGGTTGTTAAGAACAATAAAATTCTGTATAGGGGACTCAATGCACAATCATTAATCAACCCCAAGCCTAATTCTCAACAGTCTCCAATCTTCTAAAGCATAATGAACAAGTTCTTACATGGTGAACAAGTTCTTACATAGTGAATAAGTTCTTACATGGTGAACAGTGCAAGGGCAGTCATATCACAGAAACTTTCGGTTTTGATCACGCATCATGAACTATAAACAATCAGGTCAAATATGATTATTCATTTGATTTTTATACTTGATTTATATGTGAATCCCACATTTATCCCTTATTATTATTATACTTTTTAATAAAATGCTGAAGTGGTAGGTAGATGCAAGATAAAGGTAGAAAACATAATTTAGTGCTGTAAGAGGGCAAATGTAGATGATTAGGTGTGTGCCTATAGACTATGTGTTAATCCAAGCTAGACAAGGGCAACAAAACATCCACGGATGCAGAAGATTTCTCTCAAAACAGCGGGGGTGAGGTTCTAAGCCTCACCTCTGTTGATCCCCAATTTCTCACCTGATGGCCCCCCTGCAACTGTGCCTGTCTTAGGTTGTTCCTCCCTTGAGGAATCTTACCCATCTCTGGCTAACCAGTTATCTTCCGGGGCCATACAGGGAAGTGTAAAGTTGGTAAGTGAGAGAGAAGAAATATTCTTTGAAAAGGTTAGCTTTTTACTTCTTTGCAGATTTATGCCCTGTGGCTTCTATGCCCAGCATTTGTCTTGAGGTATCTTTCACTTGGAAGAATTATGATACTCGGTAATT